AATAAAAAATTAAAAATTAATTCATCGGTTTGGAGAAGAAGATTGCATCTTGGAGTTATGAAACATCACTTTTTGTTGGATTCATTCTCTGCTCAGATTTCTTTATCTATAATCAAAAGTAAAACAAAAATTAGATAAAGAATAAAAAGAACAAATATAAAATATGAAAGAAAAAGGAGAAGAGTATAATAAAAATCTATTAATCCCAAAATACGTTTGTGGAAAAAGTGTTAGGATAATGGTTCTATATATTGGCTACTAAATAAATGAAGGGAGCATAGAATGAAAGATTTCAATACCGTATAAAGAAAATCTTAAATATTAGGTAATATCTACTTCTTTATGATTTAACTCATCTTTCTTGCAAATAGATATTTTGAAATAAACCAGAAAACTTCTACAAAAATTACTTTTATAAGCGTGAAAAAAAAGATTACTTTTATAACATTGAAACATGGCTATTATAGTCATAAAAACAGACTTTTAAACAAAGAAAAAACTGTGTAATATTAACACCAAAAAAAAGACAATCACAAATTTATTTTATGATAAAAATTCATTATTGTAAATATTGTAAATAGCTAAGCAAAACGTACTTCATTTTTTATGTTTAAAAGTATATGCTATTGAGTATTATGAGAATCCAACAAACTACATGAAAAATACTTTCGATTTATAGAATGAACCAATAAAACTAAAATCTGGATTTACCAAAAAATAAAGTCTAAATCTGCCAAAAATAGTTCTACCCGTTTCTTCTCCAACTGAATATACTTTGCATCCGAGAGAAGAGTATCCAACAATTCAATCATGGAACAATAAATGCCATAATTAACTAAGTTTTCAAGAAAGAAACCGATGAAAATGTTGATGTCGTTGGTGTGATTCACATGTCCATCTTTACCATTATAATATTCTAGAGAAATTTCAAAAAATGTCATTTTTCAAGTGTCACTTTACAAAAATGCCACATTTTTGAAATCTTTACAAAAATGCCACTTTTTCAAAATTATTTTTTCTTTACATTATTTATGTTTGGGTTAATTATATTCTATTAGGGTTTAGTTTTGAGTGTTTAGGGGGTTTTAGGTGTCAAAACATTTTTAAGGTTTAGAATTTTAAGATATAGGCTTTATAAATCTATAATT